TACATAGTGAAAGTAATTGCTATACTTAGTCCTTGTGTGTTGACACTGTGGTATCTTTCATCCTTATGTGTTGACACAGAGGTATATTTCGTCCTTGCGTGGAAATAGTGGATTTGTTTACTACTATTTCAAGGATGTCACAAGAATGAGGCTATGAAAAACTGGTCCAATTAAGAAATTCTATACTATTACATGTAGTTACCTTACAGCGTTGGCACGTGTAAAAAGTGGTCTGGAGCAGCAAACATGGCAATTAAATTACTGTATTCGTGTCCTCAGGCAACCCTCATCTTTGTTGATGTCGGTAAAATGTTGCGACTTGTTAAAAGGTCGCAGTTTAATGATACTTCAAATCTATTTAAACAGAACATTTTACAGCTGATGAATGGTTGGTGTTGTGGACATGATATATGTCTGCTTCTCTGCAGAATGTAAATAACTGATACTCTTCTCAAGAATGTCAGTAAGTGCAGAAAGTCGACAAATTTACTGAACCAATAATGTGACCACATACGTGTTGTCACCTACATAACTGTGGCACGTTCTTATTGGTTGGAATGTGCTTTTCGGGTGAACTGTACTTCTATATATATGTATTGTAATCACCTTAGATGGCTGGAAACAGGGCTCTGTCGAATGTCGTATACTAACATATAATACTGATATTGTTCTGACGAGCCACCTTACACGTGCATTAAAGGTCAGCCACGTGTGTCAGACACTCGTGATGGATGATGTTTTCTTGCCATCGACGTGCTCTCAGTTATTCTATAGCTTAGACGGAAGTATAATCTTCGTGAATTTATACCTTGGACGGAAGTGTAATCTACATTATTCTAAAACTGAGACGGAAGTATAATCTAAATTATTATATAGCTTGGACGGAAGTATAATCTACATTATTTTATACCTGAGTCGGAAGTATAATCTAAATTATTATATAGCTTGGACGGAAGTATAATCTAAATTATTATATAGCTTGGACGGAAGTATAATCCACATTATTATATAACATAGACGGGAATATAATCTAAATTATTCTTCTGCTTGGACAGAAGAATAATCTACATTATTCTATAACATCGACGGAAGTATTATCTACGCTAATCTATCACTTAGGCGGAAGTATAATCTACATTATTTGTAACTTAGACGAAAGTTTAATCTGCTGACGGAAGTATAATCTACGTTAATCTATAATTTCGAAGGAAGTATATTCAACATTATTCTATAATTTAGACGGAAGTATATTCAACATTATTCTATAATTTAGACGGAAGTATATTATACATTATTCTATAATTTAGACGAAAGTATAATCTGTATCATCCCTTAGGGATGTTTATATATATGCTGTGTATGAATACATAGCCTGAACACTACTACTACGATTCGGAGAACACGCTTTCAAAAATAGTTCTTAAACAAACATTAATGCATCCATTCCCCGGCGCTTTAATCGAATTTTATTTGATATCGTTATCCAGTTCGTTTCAAAATTTATTTATTATCCTAAATTAAAAAACCAAATGAAGAAGATATGAGACCTTTAGAATTGTAGAGAAACTTCTCACCTATTTTTGCTTAAAATATGAAGACGGAAATGAGCAATGAACTGCAAATATTTTGTCGACTTACTGGTGTAACTGCCTTGTGTGTCAAAGACAAACTTATTGGGCACTATTCAGCTTGCCTCCGACGCATGTGGCATTTAAACCAATTAATAAAAGACCTTCAACATCTACTGCTAGAATAATGTATACGCACATATCGTAGCCTGCCACTTGTCCGGCGTGATTCAATCTACAAATGAGCTCAATCAGTATCACAAGCACGTAAATAAATGCATTTATATCAAAACTGCTCGTCATTCTGGCTGTCATGTTGTTTTTAATGTACAGTGATACTGATACACTGTTGATGTTTCCCAGACTATGTATTTTAAATATAAAAACGTTGTTTATTTGTTGCTAGATATCAATTTTCGAATCTCTGACATGCCTTTATGACTTGGTATGACTGTATACGATGTCAGCCTGATCTGAATACTAATTAATACAGGTGTTAGGCGTTGTTCTATATACGTACACCTACACAACACGACAGTAGCTCCTACCGATCTCATTGATAGCAGGTCCTTCTCTAAACACTCTCCGTAAATAAAAATTCAACACACCTTCTCTACAAACACCTTCTCTACAAACACACCTTCTCTACAATCACACCTTCTCAATCACACCTTCTCTACAAACACCTTCTCTACAAGCACACCTTCTCTACAATCACACCTTCTCTACAAACACACCTTCTCTACAATCACACCTTCTCTACAATCACCTTCTCTACAAAAACACCTTCTCTACAATCACACCTTCTCTACAAACACACCTTCTCTTCAATCACACCTTCTCAATCCCACCTTCTCTACAATCACACCTTCTCTACAATCAGACCTTCTCAATCACACCTTCTCTACAATCACACCTTCTCTACAATCACACCTTCTCTACAAACACACCTTCTCTACAATCACCCCTTCTCTACAGTCACACCTTCTCTACAAACACCCCTTCTCTACAAGCACACCTTCTCTACAAACACTCCTTCTCTACAATCACTCCTTCTCTACAATCACACCTTCTCTACAATCCCCTTCTCTATAGTCACAGCTTCTCTTCAATCAAACCTTCTCTACAATCACACCTTCTCTACAAACACTCCTTCTCTACAATCACTCCTTCTCTACAATCACACCTTCTCTACAATCCCCTTCTCTATAGTCACAGCTTCTCTTCAATCAAACCTTCTCTACAATCACACCTTCTCTACAATCCCCTTCTCTATAGTCACAGCTTCTCTTCAATCAAACCTTCTCTACAATCACACCTTCTCTACAGTCACCCCTTCTCTACAATCACCTTCTCTACAATCACCTTCTCTACAATCACCTTCTCTACAAGCACACATTCTCTACAAACACACCTTCTCTACAATCACCCCTTCTCTACAATCACCTTCTCTACAATCACCTTCTCTACAAGCACACATTCTCTACAAACACACCTTCTCTACAATCACGCCTTCTCTACAATCTCCTTCTCTACAGTCACACCTTCTCTACAATCACCTTCTCTACAAGCACACATTCTCTACAAACACACCTTCTCTACAATCACCCCTTCTCTACAGTCACACCTTCTCTACAATCACACTTTCTCTACAATCACCTTCTCTATAGTCACAGCTTCTCTTCAATCACACCTTCTCTACAATCACAACTTCTCTACAATCACACCTTCTCTACAAATACACCTTCTCTACAATCACACCTTCTCAATCACACCTTCTCTACAAACACCTTCTCTACAAGCACACCTTCTCTACAATCACCCCTTCTCTACAATCACCTTCTCTACAATCACCTTCTCTACAAGCACACATTCTCTACAAACACACCTTCTCTACAATCACGCCTTCTCTACAATCTCCTTCTCTACAGTCACACCTTCTCTACAATCACGCCTTCTCTACAATCTCCTTCTCTACAGTCACACCTTCTCTACAATCACACCTTCTCAATCACCCCTTCTCTACAAACACACCTTCTCTACAAAAACACCTTCTCTACAATCACACCTTGTCTACAAACACACCTTCTCTACAATCACACCTTCTCAATCACACCTTCTCTACAAACACCTTCTCTACAAGCACACCTTCTCTACAATCACACCTTCTCTACAATCACCTTCTCTATAGTCACAGCTTCTCTTCAATCACACCTTCTCTACAATCACACCTTCTCTACAATCACACCTTCTCTACAAACATACCTTCTCTACAATCACACCTTTTCAGAATGTACAGGTAAGGCGAGAAAAAACGTATTACGAGCCAGGAACTGTAAAGCTTGTGAAGATCACTTTCGAATGTGTTTTTCGTTGTAACTATTCAAAAGTCTTTTACCACTGCATTGGAATTAATAAAGAAATGTGTAATCGACATTAATTCCCCGATATACCTCAGTACAATAATGACAGTATTGACTTGTTCGGTCCACATCGAGCTTAAGGGGCTAGCGTGTGTAAAAGGTGGCAAGGTATGCAGGCATGTCTATGTTTAATCATGAGCTGCAAGTTTACATGAATGGAATGCAAATGCTAAAATGTTTAAACAATGTAAATCATACCTTTTACAATATACATGCAACAAGTCATTAATCAAAACTGGGCATGACTAATGTGCAGCTATTAATTTAAAGTGTATACCTAGTCAGGTGATTAATCGTACGGTAAGGGCCCTACTCTCAGTATTCACCACCTTATACTGGCGAATCAACGTATAAATTAACTCAGTTATTACAACTCAAAGTACAATAAATATGTCAATGGTTTCGTCCTAATAATACTAAAACTGTTTCCTCTTGGGAATGCTTAGTCGTGAGACTTTTTTTGACAATGACCCGTGTTAAATTTGGACTCGGTTTGTAGTGCTTCTCATGAAGTTTGGTTGAAGAGTTTGCATTGAGTAGATACGTACTGGTGTGAGACCACATTTGAATACTCCGTTATTTGATATGGAATCTCAAATTAATTCGGATAAAGATAAGATAACACTTCTTTATGCGTACTTGATTATGTATATTTGTAGATAGGCGACGCATATTTATATAACATTAATCCAACATGCATTCTGTTTGTTGTCACATTGAGTTACATACAGTTGTATCCAGGAAACAAACACATTCACAGGTCACGTGACAGGGTCGGGACGAACATTCCGTATGAAGCTGTGGCATCACATTAGACAATGACAAATCGCAAGTTTTGCAATTCAAATTAACTCGACATGAAATGCCAGTATCTAATTATTTCACAATGTTACACATAAACCGGTAGGTGATTTAATCCCGTGTAGACGATGTGTGCCCCCGCGTATAATAAGTCTGAGTGTTATGGAGAGTACACCGTTAACAATGCGCCCTCCTCTCATGGTTTCAGATTGATCTGGATATTGAACGGACATCAGGTTCTAGGTCAAGTCGAAGCTTGACTAGACGACCACGTGACCGGTTTGGAACTTAACTAAGATACAATGGTAAGTAAAAGGGATTTTATTCCCGTCACTTTGTTATCTTGCTTCCACTATTTTGTTAAGTAAAGTATTACACTTAAGATTCGCCATCCATCACGGGCTGACCGTTTGCAGTGTTATATCGCATGCCTTTGTGGCGCCAATCTCCGGGAATAGACAGTCTCGCTCCCTACCTTCCTGTTCTGTTTTAGTTATGAGACCATGGGAACGAGGTTGCACAGTTTTAAAACTATACCGTGTTTGGAACACCATATCATGGAAAGGACGCAACTGTATCATATATACAATTTCTAACATATTAACTGACTTTCAGTTATCGAATTATATTTAACAGATTTAACATCGGAAAGCATGCACATTTCCCATGACGTAATGAACATGCGTGTAGCGCGAGATTAGCCTTTGATGCATTAATTTGATGGCTCTCTTCACTGACTAAATACCAATTACTCCTCAGTAGCTCAGTGCTCCTTCTACTTCTAACTGCAGTAAATTAATTAGTCCGTTGTTAAGACGCAAAATACTTCGGAGTATCGGTGTGAATTTAAACGGAAGCATTACTGAACACAGGCGGTATCATACTTACCAGTCTATGGCATTGCCACTATATAACCGCACCAAGTTCAGATGATATTCATATTAGCTACGAATACAGGCAAATACGGATATTGAACTGCTTTTAGTAGGCATTCATAGTCAATATAAAGTGCTCGCGTGCCACTTGGTAATTGTACTTTCCAGTTGGCATTCATTTTGTCTGTGGATGCCAACTAAATAAGTCATTGAACAATACTGAGTGATAGTTGGTTAGTGCATAACAGGATGGCAGATAACACGAATACGTCAGCATCGGACACACGCTTCATATCTGTCTTCACTCCAAAGTGCAATCCGTCCTTACAGCATTGTCGTTCCCATGTACTACTGTGTAGTATGACTGAACGTCAATGTGATTATTATGGAAGTCTTTGGCGAGTTATTCATGAAGATTTCAGGAAGGTTCCTGCCATACTGTTTTTAAATAAATATGTATTGCCATATCATACCTATGCCCTACTTTATCATAATCGTTCACTACCGCTTCGTCAAGTTTATCCTTTGGACCTGTTTAAGATGCTGCTTTGCGGTGTTGAGGATCCGGTAGTACTGTGTAATTCGGTATCGTTTCATCTTTGATTAAGCCTTGTACTTCTCTAAGTGTTGAGGAGAAATTAGCAATGCCACCTTCAAACCAACTAACAAGTTATTTGAGTAAAAGAAAATCTTAATCAATAGTTTCCCAACAGTTGATTGAGTAAGCACACTGACACATGGGATTAATATTGTTAAAGCGCTTGCCATAGAGCTGACGTCAACAGGACACGGAACCATAGTGTACTTCACATTAGTGGTAGATTTTGAGTTACCCCAGGACGGAATAACATGAGAGCACGTGTTACCTCGATAGGTAGGTCCTCTCTTGCAGTAGGTAGATACTTACTGCCCTCCTTGTTAATATCATCTTTATTTCCTCCAAAATGAAGAGCATGATAATACATAATGAATACATACATTGAACAATGATAATACATAATGAATACATACATTGAAACAATGATAATAAATAAATAATGCATTATTTACAAAATGACAACAATCGTCAATTCATACAAGTTCACAATTGCTATTGTCAAACAATATAAAAGTAAATAAATTAATATAACTAAACTAATTAAATAGAAAATAAAGCATAACATTCAAATTCAAGAAAATCGGAACTTTGCACAACACGTATACTACATTTATCCCCTCATATTTTAACAGAACCAATACTGGTCTAGAACAATACACATAACAAGTGAAAGTGTTACCTTAATAATTCCTTAACTGGGAAAGTATGTCGATGTGCGGCAGATTAAGTCATACTTTACTGAAAAAACATTGTCACGCTACAACCTTCACTTTTACAAGTATACTACTATTCCACATAACCTACATATGTTATACAAAACTTTACACGTAGCACAACACACACACTCTATGCTATCACAGTTAAACAATAAAAACTGAAATAATGATAAAAAAAAATTAGCCTTCACCATATTGATTAACACTTATGTAACCTCCAACTGAAAATTATGATAGTATAGTAACATTTACACTCTAAGTATGTGATACTCTTTGTAGATGATACTAGAAATTCAATAAAATGTCTCTCTCCATGATTTCACACCAACATGTGTATTACCAGGTAGAACAGGTACGCCTCTCACCTGCCCAACGTGTTACAGGTGTGTTTGTAATGCCTCATGATCAATCAAGCAAAATAACATGCATAACATTTGATCGTTTAACGAAGCCTGTTGTGGAGACATACATGTGTTATCGTTTGCATAACCTGTGACCAGGACACTTATTTCTGTGCAGACATAACCTGTGCAATCTGTCTTGTCATCGAAGCTAATGAAGTTTTACCTGGCTATACAGGTGCGCTACCTGGTGATGTGAGGTATACAGTCGGTATTTACCGCCTTCGCATTCGTCATCTGTTTATAACTTACTTGTATTACACACACACAGGTGCCAACGCCCGTGTCCAAACGTTTACAATTGAATTACTTGCCTGTTGAAGTGTTTACATCGACTAGTGATAAAAAGCCAATCCTTAGGAAGATTTTATGTTTAACCTACTTAACTAAAGGTACATTATTGAAATTTTGTTTGCTAAGTACTGCTGATTATTGCTTCATCTTTTGCCATAAGTACCAATTACCCTTTCACCTTAATACATCAATTAAATTCGGTAATTGGCTCTTGTGTCATATTAGAATTTGTTCTCGCATATTTTTTGTAGTGAATTACGATACCGATTGCCCATGCTAGCTAGCGACCGATGTTTTCAAAGAGCGACATACAATATGTATGTACAATAAAGGTGCATGCAAATGGCCGATGTGTTCATGAAAATTGTCAATATATTACTATTTTGTTAATGGCACAACATTGATAAACATTATCAGAATATTATTGCTACAAGTATTTAACTAGAATGTATTTCATGTAAGCTATCAAAATGATCTAGATTTTTGTTGCATATAATTAGACATCTTATCTAAATAAAATGATTTTAAATCTAATTTCCTATCAGTAATATTTCTGCACGAACTAAATGTGGTTATCAAATATATCACCTCAATGCACATGTGGCGGGTACATCACTGATCACAATACTTCTAACTGTGCTTTGATTACCAGTGCTTGCAATTTTCAATGAAATTAAAAGATTTTTGTTTTCTATTTCAGACACAAACTGCTCCAATTTGACGATACAACAAGCCAATGGAGACGGAGGAACTGGACGATCTGGCTGACGTACAGTCTAAAGTCCGCAGCAACTTCGTCTCAAAATTCTCTCTCTTCAAACAACATGGCGGCACGTTGTCAGCGCTCGATTCTAACACAGGGTTGCCTCCCCCTACCTACAGCAGACAGATGTCTCATAGATCATCGTCTTTGTCATCTTTGTCGACAGATTCTGGGTTCCCAATGTCCTGTGGTTCCCCCTCCCCCACCACTGATGTTACTTGTTTCGAGGACATTGACCGGAAGCTCCGACGAACGTCAAGTACCATGACGTCACCGATATCACAAAAAACAGTGACATCGTACAAAAGTCTGCCGTCACCAACACGCTTCATATCTGTCTTCACTCCAAAGTGCAATTCTAGTTCAGAGCGTTCCGATATAGAATCGTCATTTTCTAAATTTCAAAAGTCCAAATCGCTTTCGATGTCGAATTTGGCAACACCAAAACTTGTGCTTCACTCACAAGAATTTGACAGCCAATCTGACGTGTCTAAAACTTCGACTGTTGATAATGAACAGAGTTCTTTTCATCAAAATTGCTCAATTAATCCGTGTTCTAGCGCTATTGAAAAGGAACGGAATGCGTCACTACCAGTCAGTTTTACGTTTAGAGAGTCGCGTCCTGCAAAGCATTACGCAGACAAAACACAAGCTGACGACATAAGGTCGGAGAAACATTCCAATAGGGACCATTGTAGCGCAGATAACGTTTGTGAAAAGTCTCGAAATTCTGACATGTGTGATTCGGCATACCCTCTTAAAACATCGTCTCCTAGAGTATCCCGATCGTCTCGTCCTATTGGGTTTCCCGCGGATTTTCGGAAGTCCTTTGCCTCCTCTAGTCATGATGTGTCCGATTGTTCCCAGCCCTGTAGCCGCGATACTATGACCGCGCAACTTAATGCCAAGAATGCGGTTGAATTAAATTATGGCGATTATTCAGACATTGACACTGTGAAAGTCAGTGCCCCCGCACAACATAATCCAGAGAGATTTTTAAAACGTTCTAGCTGTCCAGATCGAGCTGTTACTGACTCCTCAATACCTGGTGCTGACCACAGGAATTTAAAAGCAGAAAGGACTGGGGAAAACCACACTGGACATCGTGAAGTCCGCCATACGAGTATTGTGAACCAACCAGAGTTTCATACAAGACTACCGTTTACGATTTCAAAATTTGAGGACACTTCGAAAACAGTGAGGAAGAGAATTCCGCCTGGAATGGTTGCAGACATGAGGCAAATGTTTTCTGCACCAATTAGAAGGCGACAAACCATGCCGGTTTTATCGGATATAAAAAAATACAGAACTTTGCAAACTTTTGATTTCCCAACAGTGTCGAATAGCGGCGGCATTAGTGGTGCTTCAACATCGGAAATGACTTTACCCGGAAGTTTCTCGGAAACAGACGAAGGTAAGGCGGAAAATACAGAGCGTTATTGCAGTGGTGATTCTAGTCCTGGAGGAAAAGGTGAAGTTGTTGCAAAAAATACAAACTCTGATGAGAATGGCATGAAAGTGGGCTTACAAACATCACAAAAACCAGACGATTTTATTAAAAAATGTGTTGTTACGAATGAACCCAACAACGAAAGTGACGATAACATTTCAGACGACAGTGAAACTGTGGAATTTAGTCCTGATTTAGAAACATCTGAATTAAACTTCTACATTAAAAATGGCAGTATATTGAATGAAGACGACGAGGAAAGTGACAATGATACTTCCGATAACGTTTTGGAGGAATACTCCGACGATTCTGATGATACTGTAGAAGAATGCAATATTTATGCTAGTAAAGACGACGTAACGTTCCGAGTCAGACAACCTGATGACCCGCCCTCCAAACTGACTACCCCCTCCTACACAGACAACATCTTAAGGCTCAGCAGAAACTCTCTAAATTATGATGACGTAGAATCGAAAGAAAATAAAACAGACAATACATCTGAATACAAGAAAAACGATGAAGAAGCAATGGAAAGTGTCCAAAGATATGGTGATACGTCGTTTGAAACCAAACAATTCGACGAGAGCAATGGCAATGTAGATGACGATAACAGGCCATTCCACGTTCCTCGTCGAAAGGTAAATATGTATTCTGTCATAAACGAATTCAGGGATACTGACAAACAATGGCGTCAATCAAATATGTACACGTGCATAGATTTACACACGGAATCACGCGAGGATGATAGCACCAATACACAAACTAAGGGCGTGGACGTACAGCGTAACGACAGGAATTTAGTCCACGTTGACAGAACGACCGGTTTACATACCGAACCTGTAGCAAGTACAGGTGAAACAGAGAGTAAAGTAAAACGTCGTTTGAAGAATGACAAGAAAAATGAACAAATACACCAGAAAGGTGGGATATACTGTTCCAGAATCAACGTTTCACCTGTGGCCATTGGAAATAAATGCACTGATGGAGAATTGTCCATTAATAACACGCCAACGAGGTCCCATGTCACCTTTGATAAACCGCGAGCAGACGATAAAGTCACCGAAGCGTGTCCGACTGCGGGCGAAAGGGATAAACCTGAAGAAGATCACGTGGCCTTAGCGAATAATACATCGCCACAGGTGGAATCAAAACAGTGTCGTACTCCAACAGTCGTCGACCTATCTAGTGTATCCTCTACGTCAAAACCATCGGATTATAACAGGGATTGTTCTCAAGGAATAGACAGCATGCCTGAAAGATCAGCTGGTCCGAACAATAGCTATTCTGAAATTTCAGAATATTCAGGAGGAAAGAAAATAACAACAAAAACCTCGACAACCGACGTCAATATGAATGAAACATCTGAGGAGGCAAAACAAACACTGGCAATACTGACCGAGGCCATGTCAAAACTAAACGGCGATAACAACGACGATATCCTACCTGAGATCAAGCAATCTGTTGCTAAGCTAGACGGTGGTAATCTGGTCATAACGACCTTAACCCGTAAGATTATCGAGGAGGAGGAGGAGTCCGGCCGGGGAACCCCCCTCCCGGATTATAACGATGTGTTTTACGTCAGGGATCATAAAGGAAATATATATATGGTCGAGGATTTGACAGAGGATTCTCAGGAAAGTGCTTATTACAGCTCCTCTAACGTAAGTCAGGAAAACGATTACAATAGAATACACAACCTAAGGTCTGTTGGTCAGACCAACATTGACCACGCCACAGCCGAAGAGGTTCTGTTAGGGCTATATAACCAAGGTCGGAGCGGGGTTCAAATCGAGGAGATCGACGAAAACGAAAAGCAACTCGTCGTTCATAAAGGTAGTGCGGCTGTGGACTTAAATAATCAGTTTTCTGCAGATAGCTCGTTTAACAGACAGAGCACCAAATATGAATACGACATGGCGAACGGAGGTTCACAGATGCCGGCCCAGGCAGGGCCTCGCTCCACCTCCAAAATCAAGACGATCAAACAATCTTACGAAATGACGTCAGATGGCAGGAACAATAAAGATGGGCAACCAACCGAAGAGGATATCAAAATGGAGACAGAAGAAACGTCAACAATTAAGAACATGGATAGTTCTGGGTGTAAGACTATGTCATCAAGCTTCCGGTATCAGACCGATGCCAGTCTGTTACCGCCAGTCGCACCGGAAACTACCGTCTGCGTAATGCCTCCCCCTCCCATGATTCTACCTCCGGTACAGCCGAAGTTGGTGCAGCTTGATATGACACCGGTACTTCCGGTCAGCACGGTAGTGCCATTGGTGTCCATGGTTCCCGTGACAACCACCAAAGTCACTGAGAGGTCGAGCGACCGGATCGTAACCAGTACGGAGGATAACGACGCTAAAATGAAACTTTCTGAGCATGGGAGGCCCGTGTACAAATCCGTAGCTCTCGTGAAGGGGCCGTATGAAACTCCAAAATGGCAAGTAACGAAAACAAAGACTGAAAAGATTAATGAAGACACAGAAGATTCTAAGCGGTATAAACTTGTGCGTTCGCACGCGTCTAACGAGACGCAACAGAGGGAATTATCGTTTCAGAATTCCTCATCGAGGTTTCATGAGATAAGCGGTTGCGTAAACAGAGCGACCGTCAACGAAAACCAGAACATGTACAAGAGTGAAAATGTGGTCCACATGAACGGTGGTCCAGTGGTTGAACCCAAAATCCACCGGACTAGGATAGACGTATCATCGCCGCCGCTTCCTCGTATGGACTATGGGGATGGAGGCATGTGCGAATATTCGGAATCAAACAAGATCATCACGACACAAAAACTTCAATCGGAACCGGTATTCCCCGCTCGGGTGCCATCACCACCTAGGCTCTCAGCCTCATCAGCCGAGAAAGACATGATGGTTGTGCGAGGGAATATTCTCATAAAAAACACGATGGATCAGGGATTGGAACAGTTTGACGACAATATAAACATGTTTAGTAAGGGTTTTAGTATGTGTAAACAGAATCCGCTGTATCAGAGTGACGAGGATTTACAAAGACGGCTACTAGAGGAGGAGGAGAGGGAGCGAAGACGACAGATGGACCAGGAAGTCGCCTTCGAAACATGTGATCGATATTCAAAGACTAAACAAGGTAAGTAAAGGCCGAGACACGTTATAACCGATTGTTTGTCACTCAACATACAATCGTCATAATCCAGTACTTATATGCGCAGAGGTCCCACATAATGGGGGTCACTTAGCATGAAAACGCGTTATATAGTCTATATGTAAACAAAGGTCTCTTGTAACCGGAAGCGCACCCCACTTACAGTTGTAATGATCCGTGTATTTTTGTAATCCTACAACATTTCCGACATAAACCTCCTACATTATTTGTCGTCCCCCTTAACCGATCGACCCTGCATAACCTTCGATGTCGGTGAGCCGTTAAGATTTCAAATACAGTAATTTATCAATCTGTCATTTAACTAATCCTAAAGTCAATGTTACTAGAGACGTTTTCGATACAAAAGCACCGATGTTATTTATTCTGTGCGTCTCTGATATGCCAGTGCTAAGCCAGTCCCAGAACAGTGTCTTTTGCTGCCGATATATTTGTGGTCGCTGGGGAACTCTCCCTGCTATAGCAGTAACACCAGTGACGAGGATTGCTTACTATCTGTATGTGGGATTAATGTCGATACCTGTTACCTATTTACCAGTAAAAATCAACATAGTGTGTTCATTTGTATGTTTACCAACCTGCGTGAACTTCATGTAATACAATCGTACACTACACTACTGAAGTATACACATATTTAGATCTCCGTCCAGAGGTTAAGGGTTTTAGTGGACTACCTACGTACCCTGGGGAATTCCTTTAGAAATCAACGGCCACATATCGATACCTGGTAGGGTCACAAAGATGTCTCGGTGTTTATTTGTCCCCTAATTATAACCTTGGAGATTACAGCTGAGATTTACCGACACAATACAATAACTATGCACGGCCTCTGTACCTATAGATACAATGGGATACATTTACCTACTTCTATCGAACGCCAGAGTTCACAAGGCTATAAATACGCCAAACAGGGTCAGTCAAGCAACAAACTTACGGTACGTAAGTGGAAAGGTCAGTCAACCACACACTTTACGTGGTGGTAATGATATACTGGTAGGTTATACAGTGGCAGACCCAGGTGTTTTTCTTGGTGTCAGAACAACATCCCTTAGTCGGAGAATTTATGATGCAACGAGGGTTTTCATTGGTCAAAATGTTTGCATTACCAGACGACAGGCCTTGCACGTGATACAATAATGCATGCGCTCGCATCTATTCGCTATAAGTACATGCATGCAATCCCATTTTATAGAGAGGGCTATAGATTTTCAACCTGGTGTACTTAGCGTACTTTTTTAAGGACAGTCATGTATAGCATGGTACACGAGATACAAGTGTTGGATTTTATACCTAATAATTTAAAATACACGGAAACACTGAATTTTTTTATGGAAAAGGCACTGAAAATAGTGTCATTTACATAACGTGGTAAATTATAAGTCATACTGCTTACGGGCAGAAATAGTGAAAAGTAGTCGACTCGGGCCTGTCGGCTTCGTTAATTGATTCAATTACGATTTTTTCTCGCCTGCAATATACGATCGGTAAACGCGTTATACGTACAGACATTTGTCATTTCTTCAATTTTCAACTTCATTTCTCTTTACAAAATCATAAATATACAGAGAAAACATGTTTACAACAGTATACAATATCAAATGTAATATTTGAAATAAAAGTTTGATAAATTTGCATAAATTTTCTTAAAATTTTAACATTGTTTGTATTCATTAGTTCTGAGAACTGTACAAACAATTGACAAGTGAACGGAGTAAGTTACGTCAATATCGAGTCACGAGATGTTTATACTAGTATTTCCTGTACTCCTCGTACAGAACCATTACCATAGTACATGTATACATGACTACATGTACATCCAGCTGCTGTACTTTCCAGTGTAGTCCTCGGTACTTTTACATATATAGCACCTTATTTCACTTACCCCTCCAAAGCCAATAATTACATGTGTCACTACTACGACACCTAGCGGGGAGAGTGCGCTAACCTATAGGACGACTAGCACTGTTTCCTATATAAATGGATAAACTCCCAACAATATATACGTATTCGATTATATTCCAATGTCGCTCGAAACAGCCTCGTAAAGTTAAAATAGTATATTTCCTGGGAAAGAGAACACGATTTACGTAGACTTTGTTTTACCTAAGAGTTTATCTGAAAGCTCTCATCTATAGCGCGTGCAGTATCAACAATGTAAACATTTCTGTGGAGAATGCATAGATTACTTTAATCTACACTGAAACCTGTAAATAAACGTGTCTCTCACGAACTATTTTGTATGGTGTAAGCATATTCATATGTAGAGATACACTGATTATATAGTGATGGTGTGAATTGGTTATTGGTACAGCAGTGTAGATACACAGTTTATGTACCTCAGGCGATATCGACCGTATGTAAATTATAAGTTATCGTCTGTGGAATGTACGAGTGAAGGAGATCAGTTTGACATTTAGTGAACCACAGATCACGCACTAGTTTTAAACTTCCAGGTTAAACATTGGACACGACTGTGCGGTGTAATTTAACTCCTTACAAGACATGAAAGCTAAACTGGTTTTACAGTGTTAAGTTGTTTTTGCAGAAAAAAATGGTCTTCAATTATGACACGAAGTAATGAGCTACTTCCTCACTAACTGGTTCGAATTTTAATGACTTCACTGCATGTCTATGTAGTAATCACCCCTCGTTATAGTTGTCTATATACTTGAAGTAATCACCCTTCGTTATAGTTGTCTATAACTTGTAGCAATCACCCCTCGTTATAGTTGTCTATATACTTGTAGCAATCATTCCTCGTTATAGTTGTCATTATACTTGTAGTAATCACCCGTCGTTATAGTTGTCTATATACTTGTAGTAATCACCCCTCCTTATAGTTGTCTATATACTTGTAGCAATCACCCCTCGTTATAGTTGTCTATAAACTTGTAGTAATCACTCCTCGTTATAGTTGTCTATATACTAGTAGTAATCACCCCTCGTTATAGGTGTCTATACACTTGTAGTAATCACCCCTCGTTATAGTTGTTTATATACTTGTAGTAATCACCCCTCGTTATAGTTGTCTATATACTTGTAGCAATCACTCCTCCTTATACTTGTCTATATACTTGTAGTAATCACCCCTCCTTATAGTTGTCTATAAACTTGTAGCAATCATCCCTCGTTATAGTTGTCTATATACTTGTAGTAATCACCCCTCGTTATAGTTGTCTATATACTTGTAGCAATCACCCCTCGTTATAGTTGTCTATATACTTGTAGTAATCACCACTCGTTATAGTTGTTTATATACTAGTAGTAATCACCCCTCCTTATAGTTGTCTATAAACTTTTAGTAATCATCCCTCGTTATAGTTGTCTATATACTAGTAGTAATCCCCCCTCCTTATAGTTGTCTATATACTTGTAGTAATCGCCCCTCGTTATAGTTGTCTATATCCTTGTAGTAATCACCACTCGTTATAGTTGTATATATACTTGTAGTAATCACCACTCGTTATAGTTGGTTATATACTAGTAGTAATCACCCCTCCTTATAGGTGTCTATATACTTGTAGTAATCACTCCTCCTTATAGTTGTCTATATACTTGTAGTAATCGCCCCTCGTTATAGTTGTCTATATCCTTGTAGTAATCACCACTCGTTATAGTTGTTTAAATACTAGTAGTAATCACCCCTCCTTATAGGTGTCTATATACTTGTAGTAATCACTCCTGTCTATACACTTGTAGTAATCACCCCTCGTTTTAGTTGTTTATATACTAGTAGTAATCCCCCCTCCTTATAGTTGTCTATAAACTTGTAGTAATCACCCCTCGTTATAGTTGTCGATATACTAGTAGTAATCACCCCTCGTTATAGTGGTTTATATACTTGTAGTAATCACCCCTCCTGATAGTTGTCTATATACTTGTAGCAATCCCCCCTCGTTATAGTTGTCAATATACTTGTAGAAGTCACCCCTCGTTATAGTTGTCTATATCCTTGTAGTAATCACCACTCGTTATAGTTGTATATATACTTGTAGTAATCACCACTCGTTATAGTTGTATATATACTAGTAGTAATCACCCCTCCTTATAGGTGTCTATATACTTGTAGTAATCACCCCCTCGTTATAGTTGTCTATATCCTTGTAGTAATCACCACTCGTTATAGTTGTATATATACTTGTAGTAATCACCACTCGTTATAGTTGTATATATACTAGTAGTAATCACCCCTCGTTATAGTGGTTTATATACTTGTAGTAATCACCCCTCGTTATAGGTGTCTATACACTTGTAGTAATCCCCCCTCGTTATAGTTGTCTATAAACTTGTAGTAATCACCCCTCGTTATAGTTGTCGATATACTAGTAGTAATCACCCCTCGTTATAGTGGTTTATATACTTGTAGTAATCACCCCTCCTGATAGTTGTCAATATACTTGTAGCAATCACCCCTCGATATACTTGTAGTAATCACCCCTCGTTATAGATGTCTATATACTTGTAGTAATCATCCCTCGTTATAGTTGTCTATATACTTGTAGTAGTCACCCCTCGCTATAGTTGTCTATATACTAGTAGTAATCACCCCTCGTTATAGTTGTCAATATACTTGTAGTAGTCACCCCTCGTTATAGTTGTCTATATACTAGTAGTAATCACCCCTCGTTATAGTTGTCAATATACTTGTAGTAGTCCCCCCTCGTTATAGTTGTCTATAACTTGTAGCAATCACCCCTCGGTATAGTTGTCTATATACTTGTAGCAATCACCCCTCGGTATAGTTGTCTATATACTTGTAGTAATCACCCCTCGTTATAGTTGTCTGTATACTTGTAGTAATCACCCCTCGTTATAGTTGTTTGTATACTTGTAGTAATCACCCCTCGTTATATTTGTCTATTATTCTATTATGGCAACACTATAAGAGAACAGTTCCCGAGGGAAAGGGTCATAATAGATTTAGTACATCACCAGAGATCACATGTACTATACGACATTTCAGTCAC